TACTATGGAAATGGAATGATAGAACTTTTAATCTACACATTGATATTTATGTTTAAAGGATAAAACTTAAAGTATGAGGATAGAATTTGGTTGTTCCTACATTTCATAATAAATTACAGCTGTGGTTCTCAGAATGTGATCTGGGGATTCAGGAGGGTATTTGCAGTTAACAGAGTCGTTAGGTGATGCAGATGGTTAATGCAGTACACTGCTAACTGAAAGGTTGGAGGTTTGAGTCCATTCAGAGGTCTTGGAAGAAAGGCCTGGTGATCACTTTTGAAAAATCAGCCATTAAAAACCCTATGGGTACAGCTCTACTGTAACATAGGTGGGGGTCACCATGAGTTGGAATTTACTTGACATCAACTCATTTAATGAAGTCACAACTCTTTTCATAAAAGTACTAAGACATTATTTATTGGCCTTTTCACTCTCACAAGAGGAGTTTTCTAGAGGCTACATGACATGTGATATCACTACAGACTGGATGAAAAAGCAAGTAGGAGAATCCACTGTCTATTAGATCAAACATTAGATTAGCAAACACTGTAAAATAAAGCCACTCTTTTTTTTTTTGTTTCAGAAAAGTTTTTTTTAATAAAGTGCTTATATTGAAATGTGGCTAAGAAACTGAATTTCTAATTTTTTAATATTGGTTACATGCTAAAAAGACTATTTTGGACATCCTGGATTAAATAAAAGTAATAGTTTCACCTGTTTGCTTATTTAATGTAGCTACTTAGAAAATTTAAAATCACACATGGAGCTCCTATTTTTATTGGACAGCTCTCATTTACATTTCAGTTCTCTTTCCTTTTATACTTTATTTTAAACTACTGTATTTATTTAGGGGAGCTCTGGTGGCTTAGTGCCTAAGGCATTTGACTGCTAACCAGAAGGCTGGCAGTTCAAACCCACCAGCCACTCCTTGCAAGGAGGATTGGGTAATCTACTTCCATAGAGATACCGTCTCAGAAACCCAAGAAGGGGTCGCTATGAGTTGAATCAACTGTGTGGCACTGAGTTTAGTTTTTTTTTTTAAGTATTTATTTAGATGGTGTGTCCCAGGCTTTTACATTTTGCCCCTTAATTGCTTTCATTAGGAGCTCTGGTAGCGTAGTGCCTTAGCCATTTGACTGCTAACCAGAAGGCTGGCGGTTCAAACCCACTAGCTACTCTTGGGAAGGAAATTTGGACAATTCCACTTCTGTAGTGATACTGCCTTGGAAACCCAAGGAGGGGTCGCTGTGAGTTGGGTCCTACTGGAGGGCACATAACAACAACAATTGCTTTCATTTGTGTTCTTCACTCACCTGTTACTGTTACAGCCTCAGGGCATTAGAGGGTGAGTGTAAATCAGGTGCAGTCCAGTGAAGGTTTTGTAATGGTGGTTCATGGTCTTGCTTTTGTGGCAGAATAACACTACCACATAATGAAGTGTTTTCCAGTTTTTTTTTTCCATTGCTTGCAAACTAAATTGTTACTAAATTTTATTTTTGACCTGAGAACATTGTTATGAGCTAGAGCCATTGCCAGCATTCTCTTCTGCAAAGCTGAGAGGTATGCTTCTTGTCAGACTTAATTACCAAGTTTGGTATTTTGTTAACAGCTGTTGAGTGAGTCTGGAATAGGCTATCATACAAATACCGTTTGATTAGAGAGATAGAAATGAAACAAGAATGCTTTTAGCCATAGTAAATGAAAGCATAAACAAATTTTCTTTTTGGCACTATGATTGAAATTGGTAGTTTTTGAAATTTATTTGATCTGTTTATTTCTTGAAGGAGGATTAACAAGCAACACCTCCTAGTTTCTGTTTTTTTTTTTTTTAATGAGTTTATTTTTTTTCCTCCCATATATTTTTTAGTAAAAGACTAGAAAGGATAGCAGTAAATCAAGCATTAAGAGATAATGAAGCTTATTTTTTAACCCTTGCTTATAGCTTGTGTAATACTTTAAATTCATGTTTATCCTCAAGAATTGTACATTTTGAATTGTATTTGAAATATCGATCGGACCAAAATAATATTGAAAAGTTTTAAAAAATTACACAAACTTGAACAGGAGAACTATTTCTTAAATTTCTGCTATCAAAGATGGCTTGTTGATTTTGTAAAGTAAAAAGAGGTAATGCTCACTCTCACAAAATGTGTATTCTTGGAAACTATTTTAAATTAATCTGAGAGTTGAGCCATCAGAGTTTTGTTTGAATGTGTTTAGCATTATTTGTTTGAAAGAAATCAGTACCTTCTTAATAAGTTGTTTACACAGTGTCTTTAAATTATTTTATACCTTTGTTTAGCTTTGAAATTCTTTATTTTCCAATTATGTTTTTAATGCACTCTGAACTGTTGGTATATGCTTTATGAGGCTAGAGATTTATTCACATGTGTGTACCTGATTCATAGCACAGGGCCTGGCACATGGTGAACGCTCAAGTCATTTGTTGACTTTAAGAGTATTAGATTTTTCTAGTTGATAATTCAGAGAATTTATGCATTTTTTATATTCTTAACCTTTTACATTTAAAGTGTGAATAAGTAAATTTTCTTACTAAGTTTATATTAATTACATTTGTTTTAATCTATAAAATATTTCTGGGATAATATGTTGAATATTAGAGGCTGGAAAAGTTGTAAATATGACCAAAAACGTTTTTTAAGCAATAATTTCCACCGAATAAGAAACTTGGTATGTGAAGCCATGGTTTTGGAAATGCACCTTACATCTACTTAAGAATTCAAGGCATAATATGTGATTATTTTGTTTATAACCTAAAACATTTGAAAGTCTGGTAAAATTCTATTGCTATATATTCAAAGCTTTGATTTTTATATGGTAGAATTTCTAGGGTATGTTTTTAATATAATTACATAAGGAATTAACTTACCCAGGATGGTTTATTAATAGCACCTAAGACAACAGCTAAATTGTCAACTTTAAAGAGAATGAGCTTCCTAGAATGAATTTTCAAAACTGAGAATTTGCTTTCAAAGGTTCTTTAGGGTATATGAGTACTATATGGGGGCACTTTGGGGAAAAAAAAAATACTGGAAGTAGTAATGTATTTATATTTGTTTCTTAAAGTTGAGCTAGAAGGACTGACTTTGAATCCTTTGCTTCAGTGAAGCTGCAGATAAGAGTAAGCAGGGTCACCTAAAGATAGATTTACTTAGAGGTTTGGCTGCCTCTCTGGAACCATGAAGCTTTGAGCAGATTTCCATAAATGGAAAGAGCAACTGGAGAGACCCAGTACCTTGGTGAGAGTGTGGATGATGTGCAACAGGTGGTAAAACAGTCACTGGATTTTTATAAATCCTTTCCAAATGACTGGTGTTTAAGACACAGCCTTTAGCATTTGAGAGTAGATGGGGTTTTTTGTTTGTTTGTTTTTTAAATTAAAAGTTTCCTAGAAACAATTTTAAATGATTCATATTTTTAGTATGTAGAACTTGTGAATGTTTCCTTTTAGCTCCTTTGGGAGACATTTTGAGACAAATCAATCCAATTAGAAACTTATTACATATTTTTGTAGTCTTCAGTATTTTGAGTTAGAATGTGAGATTAATGTATCATTAGACTAGTAAATTCTTAAGTTTGTGTTTGAGTTGCCAATTTTCCTGAAAGGTTAGTGAGTTGTCCTTAAATTGAATACATAAAAGAAATACTTGTGTCCTACTATTTGGAAATCTTATGTTACGAACCAGAGCAAACATAAACATGACTTAACATGGTCCTCTGGACCTGAAGGAGTTTGTAATTTTAATAGGCATGGTAACGCAAGAAATAGCCACCATTTTTTGAGTTTTCATCTGTATGCTAACCCACACCAAACCAAACCCACTGCCGTTAAGTCGGTTTTGACTTACAGTGAAGCCTGTGTGCTAGGTGCTACAGTAAGTGTTTTGTGGGAATCACTGCACTTTTAATTTTCACAGGTACTGTGTAGTAGTCCTGTTTTGTAACAAAAGAGATGGAAGCTTAAGCTGGATTAAGTTAAAATGTTGTTGTTGTTGTTACGTGCCATCGAGTCGGACTCGACTCATAGTGACCCCTCCTTGGGTTTCGCAATATCACTATGGAAGTAGATTGCCTCATCTTCCTTCCGAGGAGTGCCTGGTGGGTTTGAACCATCAGCCTTCTGGTTAGCAGTCAGGTGCCTTAGCCTCTACGCTACCTGAGTTTTGGACTTGAAAGTTCAAACTACTGCTGTATGCAGCGTTACTGTTTCACAAGTGACTTAATTAGCAAAGCATAAAATAAGTGCCAGAAGAGGAAATACAGAGAGGGTGGTAGAATTTGGAAAGAGGTTCATTAAAGAAAACAGCATGGAAACCCTTTATAAAAAGAGCAAGATCCAGTTGAAGTCCTGAAGAAAGAGCAATGTTATTGTGTTTCCCAAGTTTTAAGGTGCTAAAGCTAATGTTAGGGTGTTAAAAGCTAATGCATGTGGTTACCTGTCTCTAGGCAGCATTGCTACAGAGCATTCACTAACCTAGGAAGGTCTGAGAGAGTCTAAGTTTCATTAAATTAACTTAGAAACATGACATGTTTCTCACTGATTGTGCTAGAGACCCCTAGCTTTAGTGGCAGTACATCAAAATATCTAATTGATTTCATAGGATCTTTTATCTATAGCCATCCTGTACCCCCCTCCCCCATGGTTAGTTTTGATAAAAATTGATGCAAGGTTTAAATTTCAAGGATTTTTCATTGTTTTCCTTTGGATAAAATTCAGAAACTTCGCAGTAATTTCTAATCAATCTCATTGGTTGTACTATAATCAACATTCATTTTACAAAGCATTAGATACTAGCTTGTTTTGATTTTTAAATTATTTCTGTAACTTATGTTATTGCCTTATTTAGAGTTATTCACATGGATGTGAATTTGTTATTTCTTTGTCAGTAATATGTTTTCCTTTACTAATACATTTAGTAATGAGTGTGAATATACTTAAAGTACTTTTTCAATTGAGTAGAAATTATTTTTTCCCTCAGTGGAAGCATCAGTTCACAGCAGTAATGCACACTGTACAGATAAGACAATTGAAGCTGCTGAAGCCCTGCTTCATATGGAATCTCCTACCTGCTTGAGGGATTCAAGAAGTCCTGGTATGTGAACTGTGCCTTTTTATGTTAAACATGTAACGTCACTTCATATATTAAGAACAAAGTTGTTTTTTTTTCCTCAATGCAATGGGATTATTGGCATTCTCTAAAGTCTATTGTACTTGAATACCTAAAAGCACAACTTATCTTTATTTGTTAAAGTCCCCAAATCTCAATTATCTTAAATACTTAATTTTAATAATAAATGATACAGAAAATGTCATTATAGACAAATGTTTGGTAAATTACTGCTTACAATATCATGTTTATTTCCTTAACTTTGGGTAAATTATAACCCCTTGTAATCCCTAAGAGTAGGGAAAATTGGGGCACCTGCCTCCTGTGACCACTTTCAGTCATCTATTCAGTGATAAATAGGTAGTAACTCAGGAATCATCCGTGGAGAAGAGAGAAAGGTACCTTCTACCATTTTCTTTACACCTACAGCTTGTGAGTTTTTCATTTTTTCTTGATTGCTTTTTAAGCCTGCCCTTGATATCCTTAGTCATTTTGTCCTAATTTTAACTTGTACTAATATTAAATATTTGTTTGAGTTGATACCATAAGATGGATGGTCTTCTCATAGGGATTTATAGTAAGAGCAAACATTTTTTACTTGGAATAGGAATATCGTGTATTATATGAGAAGAAAATTAGGGCATTATTGGTCAATATATTAATCCACGATAATACTAAGTACATCTCTTAATTGAAGGGTACCATATCCTGATCATTCAGGCATATGGCAAGGAAGCTGGAGCAACATCATTATTTGTGGTGGATTGTTGTTAGCTGTTAAACTCAAGTCAGCCCCTGACTCATGGCAACCCTATGCAAACAGAATGAATTCTGCCCAGTCCTGTGGCATCCCATCATCAGTTTCGATTGGACCATTGTGATCCAAGGCATTTTCATTGGCTGATTTTCAAAAGTAGATTACCAGGACTTACTTCCTAGTTCATCGCCTTAGTTTGGAAGCTCTGTAGAAACCTTTTTAGCCTTAGTAACACACAGGCCTCCACTGACAGATAGGTGGTAGCTGTATGAGGTACGTTGTTCAGGAATGAAACACAGGTCTTCCTTATGGGAAGCAAGAATTCTACTACTGGACCACCACTGCCCCAATGTAGTAGAATGTATGCAACCTATATGTATTGTTTTAGTGACCCAAAATAGGCCATTGTTCAGTTTAATAAAATTTTTAAGTATTGAGAGATGATATTCTGTAATGATCAGGTTTTCCTTTTCTTTACAGTCTAAAGTGAATTACAGGTGTTTACTTTTCACTGATTACCCATTTATAAATCCTTTCAGTTTTTCACCTTGTGCTGCAAGAATTACTGAATTAATAGTGGTAGATATATGGGAAGAAAGTAATTGTTAAAGAACTCACTTATTATACTACTATTTTATTTTCAAATGATTCCCCAATTGTCAAAATAATAGAAAATTTTCTGCAATGAGCTTGAAAGCATATAAAAAGGCTGAAGAAGGGTGGGTATGGATGGGGGTTTACCGCTTGTGATCCCAGCCTTACTTACCCACAGGATTAATATTTCCTTCAAGTTGATTTTGTTTGCATTTATGTCCTTACATATTTTAGATCATATTCAGCAAATTCACTTTTCAATATTAAGTGCTTATCCCATTTTGAGTAATTCTTAATAAACCTTACCACTTCAACTGTCCAATAAGATACATTAATGGGGGTGGAAATTTTAATTTTTCAACTTTTTTTTATAGTGGAAGTGTTTGTCCCTCCTTGTGTATCAACTCCAGAATTTATCCATGCTGCTATGAGACCAGATGTCATTACAGAAACTGTAGTGGAGGTGTCAACTGAAGAGTCTGAACCAATGGATACCTCTCCTATTCCTACATCACCAGATAGCCATGAACCAATGAAAAAGAAAAAAGGTAGTTTTATACATTTCTGAGAAAGCAGGTGAAACTTTTTTTTTCTGTTTTTTGTACCCTCAAGGAATATAGAAGATGATGCAGAAGCATAGAAATAATCTATAATACAGATTTAAGGTTGATGTTGTCTTAACTAGACAGTCTAAAAGAATCAACAAATTGAGATTTTAGTTTTGTTTAAACATATTAATACTGCTTCAAGAATACAGTATTTGAGCCTTTAAAATACTTGCGTGGAAATGAGATTCTACCTGGTGGTGGGCATGCAGTAGTGGGCATACAAAAGGGAGGTGACAGAGAGGCCTGCACTTCTCTCCGACCCTTTCTTCTGCTTTCTGATCCTTTTGAAAAACCATTTTATTTTTACTTTTCTCTGTTTTTCAAAGCCTTACCTTCTCTCTCTTGGGGACATTAAAAGAAAAAAAAAAGGTCAATATTATCTTCTTCCTCTATCTTCTGCTTTGCTACACCAAGATTGCCAAGAGATTTCTTCTAAGTGGAATAAACTTTTCCTCTCCAGAAAAGAGAGTTAAGGCATTTTACAACTCACCAGTGGGAAAAGTAAGGGACAGTTCCACTTACTACTTGACTGACTCTTGCTGAAACTCCTGCCCTTGATCTCAGTGGATAAGGCGCAAGCCTCTCAGTATATCTCTCAGGTCACCAAGAGATGGGCAGTAAGTAGGTCCTTATCTTTTTCAAATCAAAGGTAAAACTCGAAAGAAATGAAATGTTAAGTAATCGGGTACTCATCTGATTCCACATTCTCCCCAGTCTCTTCACATTTTAGAGTGAAAATAAAAAGCAAAAATAAGAGAAAATGTGTGAAAAATAAAATTTTCATTCATTATGCACAAGTGTTTTGAACTGCATACAGTGATGATTAAGACAGAGTCCCTTCTCCCATTTAATATATATAGATCATCTGAAGAGAGGTGTGAATTAGAATTTAGAACAAAGAATCTATTCCTGCTGTAAATGTTTAAAAAGAAGAGGCATACATACAAATAGGCTCATCCACCCATTGCATCCAGTGGGAGCTGTTACAAAATACTTAAGAGATTTTTAAATTTAAAATAAGATGAAAATTGATTTTTCTGTTCTACCTATAAATAGTAGGCTTCGCTATTAAAAGGAAAATAAACGACAAAAAAGAAAGATGAATAAACCATGAAAAGCAAGGTTCATTTAGATTGATAATCCTATGTGATATGATATCAGTCATGAAAAGAATATGCCAATTAAATACTAATTTAATCTATTTGAAAATTCTCAATGATCATTTTAAAATTACATGTATTGAAAGGGCTTCTGTGGTTAAATACATTTGGAACATACAAAGTTACGTTATTTTTTAATAGCAGGACCTTTTTATTATCTGAGCTTTGGATATATTAATAAACATTGTGAATCTTCAAGAGAGGATAGCATGCAGTATTTTTTTTTAAGTCATAAAACAACCTTTTATTTGTAAACTAACTATTGTCTTGAAGGTAGATTTTCTTATTTAAGAACCAGTAAGTTGCAATATGAGGTATTGTCTCTGTTTAAACATTCATATACTCATTCACAAGTATTTAATGAATTTCTCTTACTATGCCCTGCACTCCAAAATACCAGGCTTATATAGTAGTAAACATTTAGTGCCTTCCTCAGGGAGTTTATTGTCTAGTAGGCCAACTAGAGAGATAAACCCAATCTCCCACATAAAAATACACAGGTAAAAACTATTAAAGGAAGGGTGCTTGATGTGAGGGGGCAAAGGAAGGCCTCTCTGAGGAAGTGACATGTAAACTGAGTAGGTCTTAGCAGCATGCAGTATTCTTAAAGTCATTTGACTATAGGACCCTTTTTCCTACTGAGGAATAGTCTGTTAATGCTCAAGGAACATGATTTGAAAAATGTCCTTTTGGGCTATAGTTCCATTAAGGAAGTTAGACTTTTGTGTGAATTGAGGAGCTGGTGAAGATATCTCGCTACTCACTGATTGACATATATAAATATTTAAATTGAGAAATGAAGTTATAGTTTCTAAGAAGGAGACCAGTGAACTTTCTGTTTTAATTTTTGCCAAACCATGCTTCTTGGGTAGTTAGGATTACCAGAATGGAATCCTAGAAAATAATAGCTAAACATTTTGAAATAGAAATTAAGACATTTAATTTGATGATCCTTTAATCTTGATAATCCTTGCTAATGAAGAGTGGAGTGACAATAGAAATCCCAGATGTAGGACAATCACCTCTAATCAGTAATAATATATTTAATCTGCAAATATAATGTACTTGAAAATTCTCACCCTCTTTCTTGAAGTTCCTCTCACCTGTCAGTGTTCATGCATTAGTGCTAAGGATCAAATATAAATCATTTCAGATGTATGCTGCCTTTGGTGTAGAGAAGTGTTGTTAGGTGCCGTCAAGTCAGCTGTGACTCATAGCGACCCCTGTGAACACAGAAAGAAACACTGCCCAGTCCTGTGCAAGCCTCACAATCCTTGCTAGACCTGAGCCCATCGTGGCAGCCACGGTGTCAATCCATCTTGTTGAGGGCCTTCCCCTTTTTCGCTGACCCTCACTTTACCATAGAGAAGAGTAGTCCTTGCTTTTCTGTTCAGTCTGTTTGATAGGGGCCTTATGGGAGAACTGAGGGAAAACAAAGGGAAAGGGCACAGACATTAAACATATAAAGAAATTTAAAACCCTTAATAGGTGCCTGCACACTGAGATGGAGAAATTTGAGCATGTATACTTAAATTCTGATAAATTGATTGGCTCAGAGAAGTAGAGCATGTTTAAAAAAAAAAGTTTTTACTTTTCCTCATTTGAGTTCAGAGTGCTTTACAAATAATCAGATCTTTTGCAATAGGTAGGTAAAGCTGTTTCTAATAATCCTGTAGAACAGGAAAACAAAAACTTCATACTAGGATTTGTTCTCAATGCAATGTTGAGGCCCTGACCACATAAATAATAGATGAGTAGATGAATAGTACCTAACTGCTGTAATCTAAATTTGCAAAAGTTTTTAATGCTCCTTTTAGAAGGAATTTTCAAATACACTGTGTTATTCCATAGATTATTGCCAAGTTTCATGAATAATGTGCTGTCAGAGTTTGCTTATTCAGGCTTCTATTACTTATTTTTTTCAGTTGGCCGTAAACCAAAGGCCCAGCCATCACCAATGTCCAATGGGTCTCCTGAGTTAGGTATAAAGAAGAAACCCAGAGAAGGAAAAGGTAATTTTGGGGGGCTATGTTGGAGGTGAGATTTTCCTTTTCAGTCAGGTGACATGTGCATTTGTAAAAAAATTATTTGTAGTACCTACACATACGATAGTTCTCTCTCTGGTAGTAGTTTTTAACCAGGGCATTTATCAACATCACCTCATGCAGCTTTTTCAAAATATCTATGCCCAGTCCCTACCCCACAGAGATTTTATAGTCATAGAAAGGGGAAGGGGCAGGCATTTATATTTGGAAAAGGTCTCAGGGCAATCTGATAGCACATCTTTCTCAAGAACAAGTTTTAAGGGATGTGTGTATAGCACTTATCCCCACATAAAACCCAGTGCCATCAAGTCAATTCCAACTCATAGCAACCGTATAGGACAGAGTCAAACTGCTTCATCAAGTTTCCAAGGCTGTAAATCTTTATGGAAGTAGACTGCCACATCTTTCTCCATAGAGCAGCTGTGGGTTCCAGATGCCAGCCTTTTGGTTAGCAGGTGTGTGCTTGCAAAAAAGGGTGTGGGGGAAGCATCATCTCACCTCCTCTTAACTTCACAGTGGGGAAGGAGGATCCAGATCAGTATGAACAACCCAGGCTGCCACCCCCCAACCTCTTTACCAACTTTAAGGCCAGTCGTCCTTCCTACAACACTCTCTACTTCTCTGCTGGGTTCAATAATTTGTTGAGTGGCCACCCAGAACTCACAGATAATACTCAGGATTATGTGGTTTACTAGGGAAGTAACAAGATTACAATTGCAGGTTCAGGAACAAGGCAGGATACAGTTCTTCAGTCAAGACAGCTTCTTACCAGCCATGCTGCAGGTATACTTTCTTTGACCTTTGGCCTCTGCCCTGCTTGGGCCAGTGTTACAAACCTAGCTTTGCTGAATAGGTGCCCAGAGGCTCTCAGCTTTCTTGGAAGTCCACTGCCCTGTCTCGTGCCAGTCTCTTGGTTCTGCAGGGATCTCAGGTCCAAGAACATGCTCCACTACTGGCTCTTTTTCTGTTTTGATGGTACTGAGATCCCTCTCTTTTTCTGCCTCTGATACGGCTCATTTTAAGCCTAGCAGAATGACAAATTGACCAGTTCCCATTAGGGTTCCATGCACATTGTTTGTATGGTCCCACCCACACGAGAGTGTCAAGTACCTTATTTACATTATTAGCAAGCTATCTAATCCCCTTGGTCAGCCTTTGAGTAAGATCTGACTCATAGCAACCTCTCCTTGAGTTTCTGAGGCAGTATCACTACAGAAGTAGATTACCCAGCCTTCCTTCTGACGAGGGCTGGTGGGTTTGAACCACCAGCCTTCTGGTTAGCTGTCAAAAAATGCATTAGGCACAATACCACCTTATATTTGCATAGTTGCACCTAGTCATCTGGTGGGAGTCAAAATCAAGTAATAGACTGTGTTAAGAGGAATGACACTTAACCACTGTGCCACAGGACTCCTTTAGTTAATAAATTAAGTTCTGTTCAGGTTAACTTTGTGCTAGGCATTATACCTTTTGCCTTTATAAAACTCATATATAGGATACTATTTGGGAGAGAGTCTTTTATTTTTCATTTTTGTTTCTGTTACAGACACAGCAGAACATAAACCAATTTGGCAATTTATATGTACAATTCCATAACATTGATTACATTTTTGGGGTTTTGTAACCATTATTACCCTCTTTTTCAAGTTGTTCTCCCTCATTAACATAAACTCACTGCCCTCTAAAGTTCCTGTCTAATCTTTTTGAATTGTCAGTTTGATCTCATGTAGATAGACCTTAAAAAAGCACAATGCTCAAAGCAGGTAATTGTTTCTTAGTTAAGCTCTTATAAACCATTGCTTAGTTTTAAGAAGACTTCAGGGGATATTTTTGGTTTAAGATTTAAAGAATATCTTAGGGCAATAGTTTCAGGGGTTCATCCAGCCTCATTACATGAGATTTGAAATTCAGTTCTGCATTCCCCCTTTTGATCAGGATTCTTCTGTAGACTCTTAGATCAAAATGTTCAGTGGTAGCTGAGCACCATCCAGTTCTTCTGTTCTCGTGGCAGAGGAGGCAGTTGTTCATAGAGGCAGTTAGCCACACATTCCATGTCCTCCTCTTATTCCTAAGTCTCCTTCTTCTTTGTTGCTCCAGGCAAAGATAAACCAGTTGTTGGCTTGCTAGCTTTTAAGACTTCAGGCATTACAGAATGAACCAAGGAAGAACAGAAGCACTAAACACATTATTAGGCCAATTAACTGGGATTTCCTGTGAAACCATGACTCTAACCATGAAATCAAGGAACCATATCCCGTGAGGTGTTTAGTTGTACATAAACAGACTCATCTGCTACTCTGTTTTGTTGTTTTAACTGTATCTGTCATACACTTTTGCCAATTCAGCTACATAGGATGCTATTTAATAAAAACAGTAAACAAGTGTATTTAGGATTTTTATATTAAATAGGACACTTTATGTTATTTAATGGACAGTACAAATTGACAGACTACACAAATGATTATGGTATAGTTAAGTACTTAAAAAAAAAAACTCGTGTGTGTTTTACCAATAGGAGATGGATGGGTTTTCCCAGCATAATATTTGCTTTTAATTACGTTAACAAATTTACAGTCAAATTCTATCATTGTTTTCTCTTTGTTTTTAAAGGAAACACAACCTATTTGTGGGAGTTTCTTTTAGATTTACTTCAAGATAAAAATACTTGTCCTCGGTATATTAAGTGGACTCAGAGAGAAAAGGGCATATTCAAGCTCGTGGATTCAAAGGCTGTGTCAAAGCTTTGGGGAAAGCATAAGAACAAACCAGACATGAACTATGAAACTATGGGACGAGCTTTGAGGTAAGAACACAAATAAGCTAGTAATCAATCCAAACATATATCTCTTTGTTACTTATTAGCTCTTTAAAGAGAAGTGTTAAAATTCCCATGTTTATTATAATGTTTAACTCTTAGAGCTGTTCTAGAGTTGCTTCTTAGATTTGGAGGTAGATGGGTAGAGAAGAGTTTGATGTAGATGTCTAAAATTTCAATACCATTGAGGGCCCCCCCATTGTGCTTTTGCATTTAGGACTATTTTTTAAAAGAAAACTAAGTTGTAGGCCTTTAAAAAAATTAAACTCAAATGCAATAGAGTTTACAGATTGTTAACTTACTTTGTAGTTTTTAAAGTTCATTTGAAATATGTTTTATTTGATACAAAACATTTTCTTAAGTTTTGTCCGTTTGAAAAATGTATAAAACTCATTGCAATGTGTATTATTCTAATAAACGATGTTTATAAATGACACATTTTGTGACAGTATTCACATATCCCACATGTCATCTCTATTAAGTAAATTTCTCTATTAGGTAATTTTCCACATAACATCAGATTGTTTCTATAACCTATGTCAATTAGAATTGAATTTCTACCAATGTCAGTAAAATACAATGAAGTATTCTGTAGTTGGGTTAAATTAATTTCCTTTAATAAATGTACATTTATCTACTTTATAGATCTCAAGGTTACAGGACCAAAGGCACCAGGTTCTAATTTCTTTCCCATTCCAAATCCTTAGCCCTTTGAATAATCAAAGCATAAGAGTTCCTTTCTCATTTTTTGCAGGAATAAGTGAATGTTTTTCAGTGTCTATTGTACATGGCCTGTTTTTTTTTTTTTTTTTTTTTAAGTGTAGGCAGAATAGGACTCATATGCACTAACATTAATAGTCCATAAGTAGAGACCATCTTAAATCCTTTTTATTCTTAATAAAAATACCATTAGTATTGCTTTCTATTGTATTTGAGTTATAGTGATGTGTGTGCATAAGTATGGTCATTTGATATGATATAATACTAGTTTTCTTCCTGTTTTTAGAATGGGCCAAATAATAATGTATGATTTATTATTCTAAAAATAGGTTCACAATTCAGTTTTCCCATTTAATTTGAGGAGAGGAAACCTTTTTTTTCTTGCCCTCATCAGGTTTTCATCTTTCTAAAAGGTACAGAAAATAGAAATATATGCCTGGCCTGAGTCCAATGGAGTTTGAAGGATATTAAAAGTTATTAAAGACCAGTTATTGTATTGACTGTGGGGCTCTTCTGCATAGAACACATTTTATATCTTTAAAGAATGAGTTTAAGAGGACACTATTTTTGGCTCATATCCAAATTAGAATTTGTGTAAAACCAGATAAAAATGAGACAATAAAGTAATAAACTTGTATTAAAAACACAACAATAAAATGGTTCATCTAGTAATTTTTCCCTTTGCAGATACTACTACCAAAGGGGAATTCTTGCAAAGGTTGAAGGACAGAGGCTTGTGTATCAGTTCAAGGATATGCCCAAAAACATAGTGGTCATAGATGATGACAAAAGTGAAACCTGTAATGAAGATTTAACAACAGCTACTGATGAAAAATCACTAGAACGAGTGTCACTGTCTGCAGAAAGTCTTCTGAAAGCAGCAACCTCTGTTCGTGGTGGGAAAAATTCATCTCCTCTAAACTGCTCCAGAGCAGAGAAGGGTGTAGCTAGAGTTGTGAATATCACTTCTCCGGGTCATGATGCTTCATCCAGGTCTCCTACTACCACAGCGTCTGTATCAGCAACAACAGCTCCAAGGTGGGTAAACCATTAGTTTTAATACTGTGCTTACCTTTTAGAAGGCGCTTTGGTAAAAATGTCTCTTTTTAAATATATTAGCATTCTAAGACCCCACTATCATCAAGACTGAAAAATGCTTGATATTTTAAATGACTGTTTTGATATTGCTAAGCTTCAATATTTAGCAATAAATATGAGTCGGGGCCGACTCGACGGCACATAACAACAAGCTTCAATATGAATTGGTTGTTACAGTTTTTTTAGATGGAGTTTAACGTATGGCATTTCTTACTGTAAACTTCAAGGATTGTCAGTAAAATATGGGAGCACTAGTCTTGCACATTTTGGATTTGCTGTCATCTTTTTGTTTTAAGAGATTAATTTTCTAATTTAGCATTAAATCAGTTTTTTTCCCCTACTAGGACAGTTCGTGTGGCAATGCAAGTACCTGTTGTAATGACATCATTGGGTCAGAAAATTTCAACTGTGGCAGTTCAGTCAGTTAATGCAGGTGCACCATTAATAACCAGCACAAGTCCAACAACAGCAACATCTCCAAAGGTAGTCATTCAGACAATCCCTACTGTGATGCCAGCCTCTACTGAAAATGGAGACAAAATCACCATGCAGCCTGCCAAAATTATTACCATCCCAGCCACACAGCTTGCACAGTGTCAACTGCAGACAAAATCAAGTCTGACTGGATCAGGGAGCATTAACATTGTTGGAACCCCATTGGCTGTGAGAGCACTTACCCCTGTTTCATTAGCCCACGGTACACCTGTGATGAGACTATCAGTGCCCACTCAGCAAGCATCTGGCCAGACTCCTCCTCGGGTAATCAGTGCTGTCATAAAAGGGCCAGAGGTTAAATCGGAAGCAGTGGCAAAAAAGCAGGAACATGATGTGAAAACTTTGCAGCTGGTACAAGACGAAAAACCGGCAGATGGAAATAAAACAGTGACCCACGTAGTGGTTGTCAGTGCACCTTCAGCTATTGCCCTTCCTGTAACTATGAAAACAGAAGGGTTGGTGACATGTGAGAAATAAAACAGCAGCTCTGCCATGAACTGTTAGTGATTGGTTAAACAGTTCTGACAAATATTTGCAAGGAAGTCATCAAAAAGTCAAAAGAAGACTTTAAAGCATTTTTAATGCATATAAGAAAACAATCACAAATACTGGAAATAAATTACCTATCCCATGTTTCAGTGGGAAGTGAACTACATACTGAGATGCTGACAGAAAACTGCCTCTTACTATAGGAAACAACTGAACTCGTCAATAAGAAAAAGGATTGAAAGGGACCAAGCAGCTCACTACAATATCAAGTTACACTAAGACTTGGAACACTAAAATGCTGTAAGAGGTTATGTAGTTTTCAGTGGGGAGGGGTTGGGATGGGTGATCTCATTGTTACATATAGCAATTTTTGATGCATTTTATATGCATACCAGCAATTATTACTGTGTTCGCACAGTACTCACTTAACTGGTGCTATGTGAAGACTCTGCTAATATAGGTATTTTAGAATGTGAATTGAAGAATGGATCCAAAAGCTTCAGAAAGAGGATAGCAAAAAAGATCTAGTGTGATTTTTTTTTTTTTTATATCATATAGCTTAAGCTGATTTAAAACAAAGGCCTTAGACTAATTTTCAGTTTTCTTTCTTGAAATAAGCTAATGGCTTGTTTGTGTAAAGCTTTTTTATTAAAAGAAAAATTTTAAAAATCTTGTACCTAGCACAGTATTGTTATAGAATTTACATGTAACATTTTTATATGGTAGTTTAAGTCTGTCAGTTTCTTAATTGTGGACAAATTAACAGTTGCCTCTGGCCTTTTGCTGTAACATGCCTGTGTCACTCACTTAGCCCTGGCATCTGTGCAGACACATCAGTTTCAGTTCTTCTGTCACTTGGAAGTTCAGGCTCAGCATGAATTTTTGGCAGGTAGCTCTCAAACCTGGAGTCTTTTTTTCTTTTTTTTTTTTTTGTTGAAGTTTAAGAGGGAAAGTACCAGTGTTCAGATTTGAACTATAATAGTTTGTATATTCAACATTTGAAGTATATTCTATTTTGTTGTACTCTTGTTTCAAAGTGTATTCAAGTAGGTTTTCTGAAATATAGAAATGAAATTTATCTTGTGTTTTGGTCTTTGCTGATATTTATAATAATAATCAAAAACCAGTATGGAGAGCTGTTTTAGTTAATTGTTTCTGTCTTGTTCCTTTACATTAATATTTGGCAGATACTTGTATGTTGCTACTTCCTAATTATGTACTACATAACATTCTCCTTATTACATTAATTTAGTAATTTAATTGGCCACACTTTATTTTTATAAAATATTTTAAAATCAGACCATTTATTTCTCAAGAGTCTTCCCAGAATTAGAAAGAACAAGTACTGCATTTTTATGCAAATAACATGTGAGTTACATAATTTTTGTAAACCATGCAATCTCCATGGATATGCAGAAAAAATAATATCCTGCCCCTTTTACAGAATGGAAAAGTGAGGTACCAGAGGGATTAAATACATTTCCTAATTTCACACAAAACTAGGTTTTATGGTTCCACATTTTAATGCTCTTTCTACTAAAAAGTTGTCTATTTTCATCTTTTAGAAATTTAGATAAACTGATACTTAGTATTTTCTTGCCTTTAATTGTGCATTTGATCAGATGTTGGTTGCCATCAAGTTGATTCCAATCATGGCAACCTTCTGTGTGAAGAGTAAAGTGCTTGATAGGGTTTTCCCTTTCAGAAAGGGATTGCCAAGCCTGACTTCAAAGTCTGCATGGCTTCCAACTGCCAACCTTCCAGCTAGTAGTGTAGTCCTTAACTGTTTGTTTCACCAAGGGACACATCTCAGTTAGGTCAGCTAAGACTTTTATGACAGTTCCCTTTATAATCTTTTACATAAACATACCTGATGATACATTTTAAATAAAAGTTCAAATAAAAACTCAGTTGATTCTTACCCCATTTGGGTTAAGATTTTAAAACCTGTATGTACTATATGCTTTGGCACTTAATTGTATTATTTTTTGCATTGTGTTTTCATTTGTTTTGTCATGTCTTCTGCATACTCCTTTAGGGCAAAGATTGTATTTTAAGCCATACCTATCTTCCTACCCAAATTTGGGCATATTAGACACTGAAGGCATTTATTGATTCTGGTAACATAGTTGCTAAGAATCTAACTCACATGCTGTGGTAGTTTGGTTTGTGTGTCAACTTGCCTGGGCCTGGTTGAGTGGCTGGGCAGCTGGTGGTAGTAAATCCCCATGAGGAGACTGGCAGTCAACTCCATGGTGGGATCTACCACAAACAGCTGGGTAGCTGCCTTTGGGAATAGTCTCTAGCCTATGGTACGCTTGGACCCTGCGTGTAGCTGTGTCGTTGTTAAGCAGCCTGCCATGCTCTGCCGACCTTGGGACTTACAATGGACTTAAGCTAATGGCCTGCCGTGTGGTCTGGTAACATTGGGACTGCCTTTTCCTTGTCAACCTTGTGGCTTCCAGCCTCAGCAGCCAGCAGCTGTTTGAGTGAAGAAACGCCTCTAGCTCCAGTGGGCTGGGAGCAGGAGGCAAAGCTGGACCCCAAGGTTGAGGAGCTTTCACCCAACCCTAGAGCTTGGCACTTTGAACTTGGACTTAAAGCCTCCAAATTGTAAGAATTTGTTAAGGCCATTCCATTTGTGGTTTATTCTTGTCAGAGTGGCACTAGGTAACCAGAACACATGCCATGGATATTTTAAGTGAAGAATTCGTTCCTCTTATGCTATATATTCTTAATTGGTTTTCATTACCTAGCTTTTACCTCCACCACTTTACCTGAAAATTTTTCTGCATTTCTTTCAGAATAAATACATCTAAAGTCTAGATTTGTAAATATATATATTAACAGTACATATCGATCATTGTTTCTAATTGAAATTATGCAGTGGTTTTGCTTTTAATCTCAACTCTTTCAAACTATAATCAGGATAACCAAGTATTTGCTTTTTGTGTCAGAGTATTTGAGAGACAGATACATAACCTTGAGTTGATGCCATGACATTTTCTAGCCTTACCAGGCCTTTTAAACAATGATCAGCAGTCTGTCCATATATGCGTTAGGCCATTTTCCAGCAACAATTCCAGCCTTCACCACCCTTCTTAGAGGCCACATTACCCTCTCAACAAATGATCAGTTCACATTTTATAGGGAACATGGAGGCCATAAGCTGCGAACTTCTGGATCCCTTGCTATACAGGGCTTCTACTTAATTCCGGCATTCATTCTTACCTGCTATCTCAGGAAGGAGGCGTCCTACTTCTGTACTTAGCACTCCTCCTCTTCCACACCTCCTTGGTCTCCTTGTTAAAACAGCTGGTAGACCATCATTCCCCTGTCTATTCACCTAACAGCCTACAAGTCTGATTTCTGACTCAGAAGATCTCATTGAGGTTCCCAGTAACCCAGCTGTCAGACAGAACTCATTTTCTCATGTGAGCTTGTGTCTCACCTACTTAAAACTCTCCTTTGGCTTTCCATGACATTCCTCTTCTGGTTAGCTTCCTGCCTGACCGACTTTCTTAGTTTACTTTGCTTTCCTTTAGCTAGCATTCTATCTATGTTAGTACTTACCAGGGTTCTCTGTATGGGGCCTTTATTTCCCATAGGGTTGTTAATAAATGAGTGAATAAGGATTAAATGAGTTGGTTAAGAATTTAGAACCAATGCTTAGCATATAGTAAATACAGTAGAAAAGCTCATCTATGCCTGTGGTTATTACTACCAAATCTGTTGTTCCAGCCTAGACCTTTTTTCTGTCTTATATGGGTTGTAAGACTCCCCATGAATATCCAACTTAACACTCTGCCTCTAAAATCTATTCTCTTCCACTTTCCTGATCCTCTCTCTATCCTTATTCCCTTATGTTCTGGTTACTTAGTGCTGCTCTGACAAGAATATACCTCAAATGGGATGGCTTAAACAAATAGGAGTTTATTCTTAGAATTTGGAGACTTTTAAGTCCAAGTTCAAAGTGCCAGGCTCTAGGGGCAGGGTGATAGCCCCTTAGCCTTGGGCTTCAGCTCTGCCTCCTGCTCCCAGCCCACTGAAGCTAAAGGCTTTTCTTCACTCAGACAGCTGCTGGCTGCTGAGGCTGCCAAGCCCAAGGTTGACAAATAAAATGGCACAGTTCCGATGTTACCAAACCACATGGCAGGCTATTAATTTAAGTCCATTCTAAGTCCCAAGGTTGGTAGAGCATGGCAGGCTGCTGAACAATGACATGGTTACATGCAGGTCCAAGTGTGCCATAAGCTAGAGACCATTCCCAAGGCTTCTCTCTATATACAGGAAGCGGACCACATCCCAAAGGCAGCTACTCAGCTGCTTGTGGTAGATCTCACCATGGAGTTGATTGCCAGTCTCATCACGGGGATTAACTACCACCAGCTGCCTAGCCAAGTTGACACACAAACGTTAACCTACCACACCTTATGACTCTTCTCTAAAATGTTTGCCATGCTGTAAGCTGAAAGCTTTCTAAAACAAATCTCATCCACTTTTTGTTTAAATCCTTCAGTGATACTTGCTCAAAAGAGAAAACTCCAAAGCAGAGCTTGGAGAGTCTTTTAGTCTGCCTCTGCCTATCTGAAGTCTCATTCTCTTGGCAGTCTTCTTTTAGACAGCTCTGTGCTTCATTTTCTCATATATTTCAGGCACCCATACCTCACTGAGCCATTCCATTGATGATTTCACACTGGACCACTCTTTCCTCATTCACCTAGATTTGAGGAGTTCAGCTTTATTTCCTAAGTTGAAGGTCATAGACCTAAAAACAAAAATCTCTGAAATTGGGAAATAATTCAGCATGGGGAGTAGTCTACTCTTGAGTGAACTACTGGGTTTTAAAGACTTAAAAATATAAAGACAAGAGTTATAAAACCAACTAAACCCACTGTCATGGAGTCAATTCTGACTCTCACTGATCCTCTTGAACAGAGTAGAACTGGCCCATAGGGTTTCCAAGGCTGCAGATCTTTTACAGAAGCAGGCTGCCTTTCTCCTGTGGAGCAGCTGATGGACTCAAAACTACTGACCTTTTGGTTAACAGCCAAATGTTCTCACCACTGTGCCACTAGAGCTCTTCAGGACAAGGGTTTAGAGGCAAGGAAAAGGAATCAGATCCAGGAGTATTCATAGTAAATAAGCAGGACAGATGAAGTGGTGGGCAACACTATTAAGTGCAACAAGGAGGGCAAACCAAAGTAGGTCAAAGAAAAGGCCACTGAGAATAAAGACTGACAATGAGGGCAGTTCCAGAAAGGGAGTGGAGATGAGGCATCTGGCACATTGCTAGTGACTTACCACTGCATACTTCACTCAGGAATGTACATTCCTGAGCATTGTATACAAAGTGTTTATTAGTTATCAGATAAAACCTTCCAAAGACAAATTTTGGGCTTAGCGTTATTTGCAGTGTTTCCTGTGATGCTAGTCTACTCCAAGGGGACTCCAGAGCACGTGATTTTGGGGAGGCAAGAGCAACACTTTAGTCTCAAGGCTATCAAAGCGACTTTTCCCTTTTTACTGCTTTTAACTGTTCATGAATTGTGATACATGTGTCCCTTTGTTATTTATAATTGTCCTTAATAATTAAAAGCTATTCTTTAGAAACCTATTGCATACTGATTCCAGTTCTAATGTGAGAGAATGAGAAGATACTTTTTTTA